GATCAGTACGATATGGTATATGTATAGGTGCTTTCCGTGTATATAGACATAACGAATTATCAAATTTTTGTATCATGGAGATGTTTTTCCTGAGAATAATCAACCTAGTAGATCCTACTCACTTCCGCAAACTAGAGCCCAAACTTTCTTTCATTTTTGGTGATGAAGATACACACTATAGCGGCAGTTATACTCAATGTGTTTTTTTTGCGTTCACAGAATCAACAGTCTGAAAACATCAGAAGCATATTCGCAATCTCACAAAAGTGTTCACGTAATTCCAAAACCGTTTCGTATTCCACAGGTTTTGTGTTTTTGTTTGATACGAACTAGTTTGGGACAGTTTCTAATCGGTACGAGCCTCTGGACGACTGTCGTGAATAATTTATTATGGATGCGCATGCCACACATTGGAGCGTTTTGGGAGCCACTTTCAAACAAATAAGAGGATCTAATCATTTGAAAATATGAATCGAGAGTAACGACAATGGACATATTAAGCATCAATTCAGATAATTTTCAAGCGTTCTTGAATATAATTATTCTGCCGAAAATTCTCATGTCACATCCGAAATTTGTTCGTTTCGTAGAGAACATCATGGATATGCACTCGATGAATGATTCAGGCATCATATCAGGTTGGTAGCTGTTTAGGTAGGTAAATGTTAGTGGAGATAATTTATATTCAGGTCCTAGTTTTCAAGTATCTTCTAGATCAACTCAGCTTCAACATAATCGAAAAGGATTCATATGATTCTGCACAGTCCAATGACAGTTTGAATAATTTGAAACGAGAACCTAATCTAATACATACCGATATATGTATATAAACTCCGCGTATACATTTGGGAAAATTATTGATTTGAATGGGAATATTTCCAATCTCCATCATCTTCGGAGTCAGAATTTGTCTCCATCAATAGAAATGAATCAAAACCAACTGTGACTAATTAAATTTTGTGGTGATATACCTTCCTCATCTAGATAATAGGATGTTGTGCGCCTATGATGGTACCAAATATGACTGAAAACGTTTCTTTACACTTATTTTCTCCATCACCCTCTTTCACGTTGCTCATCAAACGACGCAGATAGTGGAAATGATCTCACGTGCAGTTGTTCACAAGTGAATTTGAAGGCGCCTTCAAACAGAATTTACTCATTTTCAAACAAAACCAATTTCCTGTCTAGTTCGCGGTACGACCTGTCGGTAAAAGCAAGTATGAGACGGTTTTGACAGTTCCTCGGTGGTTTTGGTCATGTGAACGTATTGCCTGTTGCTAGTGAAAAGGGGAAATGATGGAACTAGTAAGTTTCCCTATTTTTTAAGACCTTTGTAAGTTTCACTTCTTGTTGCACTATAATGTATAATACAAAAAGCCTAGCAAACGTATATAAGTTTTGTTCTGGAATTTGAAATATAACTATTAACTATAATTTAGAGGAAAATGCCCCTTTCATCATTTGAAAGTTATAATAATAATAATAATAATAATAATGTCTTTATTCAATAAAGAAAAGGCGGAATTCAGTCACCTCTTTCCAAGGAGAAAGGCAACTGCTCTTCCATTCAACCTGGGAAAACGGCAACATATAGGTTTACAAGTCAGAGTGACCTAAAATATACGATTCAATTTCTGTGGGACATCTAAATATCGTACTACAACATAGGTAGCACATTTCGAGGTAGCATGAAAGTGAGAAAATCATATACATTAATTAATTATACATCTACATTAGAAGATAAAATAAAAATCATACAATAAAAAAAAATAGTTCTGACCTATAAGATAATGAAACAAAATACAGCTAATAGATACTAATAGAATAAAGTACATATTATGAATCGGTTTATTAGGATAAGGTCCAAATGACTTGCGGGATGATATCGAAGGAGGAAATCGAAGGGCAGATAGATCTATTGATATGGTTCAATATGTGATTACTACTTGGTGAGAGGACGACTTATATCACTTATATCACTTATATCACTTAGATCCAAATAATATAAACTGCTGACCGGAATATTGTACATTACTTTCCTTATTTTATGTACTTCCTCAAACTCAATGGAAAGTACACTGGGCTTTCTACTGTACTTTCCATACTCCCTTCATAGTGCTAGTCGTTGAAGACGATACAAGCTTTATTACTAAATTTCAGTATGGATGCGGAGTTATTGAGTAATCTCAATGGAAGTTTCCTCAAAAACTGAGCTAGATATACAAAAATCACACAGAGGATAAAAAAGTTGTTATTTCAATAGCAATCTGATAAAATATGAAACCGGTGGTGTACAATGACATTCATCATGAATATCGAAAAATTTACCCACTGTTACGACACTGGAAATATTATTTCGAATCTAATTGCACCAGAAGAAGCTCAATATTACTATCAACAAAACTACAACGTTTTATTGAAATTGATGAAGAGACAATTGAGAAATGAATAGAAAAAAGATTTTTCATGGAAATATTAATACCCTGTATCTCGAAAATGAAGAAAGTTAGGACATATGTTCATATGAACTTTATTTCCCAAAATATCACAAGGAATCACCTTGAATCTTCTCGGTGTTTACACCCTGTATAAGTATACCTCAATATCAAGTTTGATAGGTAATGTTCAAAGAACTACGAAGATGTACCCAAATTACTGCTTCATCAATTAGTATGGCTGATTCATTGTGAAAATGACCTGTTGGGAGACACTTCTCCGTCACACAGTTATTGGGTAGAGAGACGAGTTTTGCCCATTATTTTCGTAGTCGCAATATCATCAAATTTTCTTTGGGAGTTCCTAAATGAATATGTTATAATTAACAAATGGCCTATTGACAAAAAAATTGCAAGTTTCCTTATACACGAATGATGAATTACTATTGATCACCATCATGTATATTCAGGAGAAGACTAATAAAATTAAATTTCAGGATCTGATCAATTTTCGAAATATTTTTGGTTTCGTAGAATACAAATTCGTTCCATTCGATAGATTAATACTTTTTTAATGCTCACAGTCTTTGATAACTAGCACAAACTCCGCTCCGCGTCGTTCGTGCAACTGATGCGGAAAAGTACTATTTTCCGCACTTGTTAGGTAAATAACTATTCCATCTCGATTGTAAACGCCAACTACACTACTGGTATGTCCTCCATCAAAATGAGAACAATACGCTACAAACTATGACGCTACTAATATTTTCTTCGGCACAAGCTTCATTATAATACATAACACACTGAATCATATGATATCAAGATAATCCATTAGTCTTAAGGAGTCTTCCACAACCTGTGTTCATGGGACTGTATTTCAAAATGAGTTTTTTATGTACCTACTTCCTCCTCCAATTTCTTGAAGCACTGATCGCATTTTCTGGTACTTCCTTGAACTTCCTTCACTATACCTCGTACTTTCCCGTACTTCGCCAGAACTTCCTAGGGTTGCACACCAGACTTCCTCAGCGATGAGTATTTGTTCTCCTGTTCATGAATGAGTCGGCAGTATACATCGTATATTTGTATTCGATATTCGACTCACTTAGTCATTTATCTTGAATTCCTTTTGGCTTTCATCAGATTTATTCAGAAATTGTGTTTACAAATATCAGTAGTATTTTAGGAAGTTGTCTTCTTTGAAAAAACTTCATACCGGATCAAATCAGAAGAAAGCCCATCATTATGAATTCAGAAATCTGTGTCTATATAAAATTTCCTTCTTTCTGAAAGATTATGCTCTTTCAATTAGGCACTTGATCCTATATAGAGCGATTTTCAAATGTAAGAGAATGTTCATTGAGTCTCCTTATTCTTGATCTCTAGTACATTCAAATCATCAATATGTCTCCTATATAATCCTGTGAAATACAGAATGTTAATCATTGGTTGTCTAAATGTCTATATGTTCGAGATAAGAAATTTGATCGTGTGCCTAACATTTATCTTTGTACATAAACCATTATATACCTCTATAATGAATTAGGTTTACTCATGTAATAAGTTTATTCAATTTATAATCATTATGAAGGTGTTCGTGATGATTAATTACATACTTTATTCGATTCAAAAGATGCGAAACACCAAGGAAGGTCATTAGGTTAGTTTAGGTACCTAAATTAATCATTGCAGGATTTCTTCATTAAACCAAATGCATATAGTTGACAACTTTGTATTGTTTTTGCCATATGATTCTCACTGTGAACAAATATTTTGTTCGCCTACGAGGAGCTTCGTGAAAGTAAAATGCTCAATATAATTGAACAATTAATTATTCAAAACACCAAAGCGATGCAGATAATTTTGTAATTTGAACACAGGGTGGTTCATGAGGCATGAGACATAGGCAAATGATGGAAATCAGGAAGAATTTAAGATATATTGGTATCATGATGTTATCGAATCACTCTGATAAAGCACCCCCGTATCTCACGTAATTATTGAGGTAGGGTTCTCAAATTTGCCGGAGGAAGAGAAAGTCCAAAGATAAAGTCAATTACGTGAGAAACGGCTTCCATAAAGAATGCGACAAAATTTCATTTTTCCGAACTGAAAATTTTCCAGGAAAACTATGAAAAGGTAGTGAATTGGGCGTCCTGATTCCGAATCTGTAGTGATTTCCAACCTATTTTGACTCCTAATATCATTTTCCGGAAATTGGGGTGGTTTCATGGCTGTTGGCGAGCAGTGTATATCACTGAAGATGACCCCAGTTGGTCATAGAGTGCATTTTTGGTATATCTCTCGCTCCAGCAAATTTCAGGATCCTTACCCAACGATTACGTAAGATACAGGGGTGGTTCCATTAGAAGTGGGTCACACTGTAGATATATATCTGTCTTTCTAGCTTCATGACATTGATAAGCGCTTTCTACGATTCAGCCAACAAGTTGAGGACCTAAAAACCAGCACCTTCACAAATGTATCACCCAAACCACGATTTTTCATTAGAACTTCCAAAAAATGCACTATGCATGGTTGAAAGAGGACGTTTTGTTGCAGTAAAATGGACCCCAAACAGGAACCGAACCAATCGCCCCCCAAAACCGAACCAACCAGCAACCCTACCACCGACCAAGACCCACAACCGCTCGCCAGCACTTCAGCCACCACCGTCATCAGAAGACACTTCATCACGCCAGCAGGCACCATCGTTGATAACGAAAACCAACCCCCTGAGCCATCAAACGAGGAAACTGTCAACACCGCCACCTCCACACCCCGCGAACAGAGCCCCGTGGAGTACAAAGCCGAGCCTGCCGAACCTGCGGAGCCTGCGTACCAAGAGCTGCCGCAGCAATTCGAAGACACCAAGACCTACGCGGTGGAAATGCCGGCTGAAGCCTACCAGACCCACGAGACCTTCGCGCAGGAGACGTTGACCTATCACGCTAACATGGATGGGAACTTGGTGGCTGTGTCTGGTGATATCGAGAACCCCGGTGATTATGTGAGCCTACAGACTTCCCAGTACGCTAGCGGGTTCACAGACGGAACGCAGTATCTGATGGCTCATCATCAGTATCAGCCGTACAGCGAGAGGGGGAGTGTGGATAGTTCTTCGCCGCCTGGACCGTTGTTTCTACGGGATCCGAATTTGGCGTCTTCCAGGCTTCAGGTGAGTGACGAGCTGACGACGTTATACTCATTCATCAAATCGAACAGATAATCTTATACCATGATAGCATAGATATCAGTTTCCCACTATGGGTCCAGAGGGAGGATATCTTCTGCTCGGTAGTCTGTTGTTTCAGACGGCCTCACCATTGGTATAATGAAATTGTAGCAGGAGAGCACTCCACAGTGATCCCTAGGGGAGTCTTGTGATGGGGGATGGGACTCAGTCTCACCTGTTGCTACACCCGTCAACATTATTGATTGATTCATTAAGATATCATAGTATGATGAGGTTTTCCTTTTATACCTACTCACAATCGTCTATATGTCTTATAGAATACCTAATTTCTTTTGAAGTGAATCTTCCCACGTTAATACCATGAAATGAAGGAAGAAACAAGTTTAATAGTGCTTAAATGTGATTCAGAACATATATGTCAATCCAGAAAAGGAATATCAATAGTTCAATTGCTCAGGAGAAAGATTTGATTTTATAAATTTTTCATAACCCAACGAACAATATCGTCGGCGACTTCTCAGAAGAAGCTGAATTTTCTGATACTTATAAAAAAGAGGAAAGCGTTTTTTACGCGTTTTGAACACCGTCTGCTTTGAAAATGCGACCGCATCCATCGGTGACGTTAAGGTTCTTGATTCACTATATAATTATGAAATTATGTATAATTCCATTCACTTTTGATGTTATTCCATTCTGGTAATAATAAGGCGCTTTTAGGTGATTTTTTGTGAAATTTTTGAAAATCGTACCGTTAAGCGACCAATCTTGGCCGGCAGACGCTATAGCTGCCCATTTCAATGCTTTATGAGGCACAAATTATTACTCCTGATGGGTTACTTGGTCAGATCATAGATAATCTATAGTCAGATCTATTATTAAACAGTTCCTGACATAATAGCGATGAACACAATAGCGCGTGACAAAATAGCGCCGATAAAAATTAGAGCCAGTGATAATGAGGATAAAAAGAGGTGAAAAATCAACTTCCTCGTCAAATTTTAACACAATTCAAATCGAAATGACTTCATGTAATGAACATTATCCAGTAACCTTGAATTCTACCAAAATCTGTTCGGGCAACCAGTACCAGATGCAGTCTCTTTATCATTTGAACATATTATTTGCAACTGGATTTTTTGTTGGCCCATTTCCTGCGCGGTACCTTGTTATGAATATTCCAAAATGGCTCTGTTTCTTCTCAATCCCGTCAGAAGGATGATGGCATGAAAGATTTTTGTGAGGTGGATTATACCATGCTTCCACAGAATTCTTGGTTTCTGGTTAAGACAGTGACGATTCTTTGATATTGGTTCCACATTTCAATCTGAAATTCCGCTGGGCAACGATAACTATAATAATAATTTTTTTACCAAATTTGACAGATGGTAGAAAAATTATTGAAGTTTACATCATTATTCCAGTGATATAATTTGAAATTGTTAGTCCATTGAAAATCTGAATTTTTTATTTCAAGAAAGACTGAAGAGGCAATCTTAAAGTTGCACCCTTTGGAGTTTTATATGCACATACCTCCGAATTCTATTTCATCAAATAAAACTGCATGTCAAATATTTTATGACAATTCCTTTATATTTGCCAAACAACTGAAAAACTAAACCTCTAAAAGTAGGAGTACTTCCCCTCTCGAAAAAAAAAATCATTCGGGAGAGAAACGAACTGTTAATTTGACATTTCCTCCAGATCTTGTTTTCTGGCTTGTAGTGAAGGGTTTTGATAATTCGTGACTAGATTCATCGCTCTCGGTGTGATACAGGGTGAAACGACTGGAACGGATTGTGAAATCTTAAGTTCAGATAGAATATATGCTGGCTTCACTCTGTCCATTGAAACTGTTGTATTCTCTCCACGAATACAAATGGTCATTTGCTTATTTCTTCTTTCGGTGATACGAAATGGTCCATCGTAAGGAGACTGTAACGATGCACGAGAAGTATCCAGACGAACAAAAACATATGTAGTTGTTGATAAATCCTCTTAGACGAACACTCGATGATTACCCTGACGTGAACCACAAGTAGGTCTGATAGTTGACATGTGTTTTAGAAGTCTATCAACATAGTTTGTTGGATTCTGTTCTGCTGGACTTGGTGTTGCATTTCTCCAGGGAGTCGAATGGGTTCTCCATACACCATTTCTGCAATTGAAGCATCTAGATCTTCTTTGAAAACACCTAGCATACCCATTATCATTGAATCACCTCAACCCAGTCCTCGGTTTGGTGGCAAGGGATTGCAGATTTCAGGTGTCTATATATGCCAACGTTCCACCATCCCGTTTGCTCGAGGATGGTAAGCTGTGGTTCGTATGATGTGAATACCACATGTTCTGGCTAGAGCTCTGAAAAGATCACTCTCAAACTGGCGATCCGATGTAATTCGCAATGGTACACCATACTTGGAAATCCATGAAGAAAACAAAGCTTTGGCAACTGTTTCAGCTGTGATATCATAGATAGGGCATGCCTCAGGTAGGCGTGAGAATCTGTCAATAATAGTCAAACAGTAACGGTAACCATTCGAAGAAGGCATTGAGCCAACCAAATCAATGTGTATATGTGCAAACTTTGTACTGGGTGTTAAAACTTGCCTATATCGATGTAATGACATGACGGGAATACTTTTGAGCATTGGCAAGGAATACAATGTTTAGCTCATTATCTGCAGTATTTCGCAATCGATGGCCATACATTACGTTCCATGATTAGTCTAGTTGAGGCACTTTGGAGATTTTTATGTACCTCCGAATTCTATTTCATTAAATAAAACTGCATGCCAAATATTTTATGACAATTTCTTCATATTTGTCGACCAACTGAGAAACTAATCTTCTCAACAAACATTTTTATATTCTCCCCAAATAGGAGTGTTCGATATGAATTTTAAAATATATGATCGCTACACACCCCTCCTGAACAGAGGGAATTTGTCCAATCAGCTTAACAGGACATTGTTTTCGGCGTTCTAGTATGCCATTTAGCAAATAGAGGCGGTGGTTTGGTCCCTTTAAAGGTCCATGGAGGATGTAAATCCTCAGCAGTTGCTGAAGGTTACATAAAATCTTCTAGAATAAGAACAATAGAGGAAGCTTTTTCTGTTTTCTGCTCAGCCTTCAACTTCTACAGCACATTTTGTGTCAACAGCATCCCAAGAAAACTTCCCAGCAAATTTTATCATTAATGAAAGATGCTTCAACACTAACAACTCATAAACATCTTCTTTGGCCCTTTTCTCAAACATGTTGAAAACTTTAATATTTCAATACATACAAACACCCTACGAGGAGACTGAAATATATCAGAACGAAAATTCACGAGAATTTTCTCCAGACAAACCACACATAGACGAAACTTCTGAACGAGCTGAATCCAACGAATATCCACGTTCTATACGCTGATATTCGCCGAAATATTTCGGGAGAGAAACCAGGCCTTTACAGAACCCTCACCAAACGAACTATCACTGACCCGACCTTTCCAGGTCAATTTCGACGCCACTACTACCCAACCCCAAGTCAGTCTCCTGCCTGTGGCAAGCGAAGGCTACTACACCACAGCCGGCACCTGGCCAAGCACCAGCAACGGCGTGTACCACCACCACGCGCAGCAGCAACCGCAGCAGCCGCAGCAGTACCAGCCGGGCGGCATCAACGTCCTCCACGCGGCAGACAGTACCCAGTACCCGGGCCAGTACGCCAACACCCAGTGGTCGGACAACGGGGCCATGGAGGATCAGCGGCCTCCCACCAGCCAAGAGGTACTAGTCAAAGAATGCGTAAATTGCGGTGCTAGCGTAACACCACTTTGGCGTAGGGACGGTACCGGGCACTATCTTTGTAACGCGTGCGGCCTCTACCATAAAATTAATGGGGTGCACAGACCGCCGATTAGACCGACCAAAAAACCACAGGCGGTAAGTTTTGGATGTTCGTGCTGTGCCGATTCCTACCGATAAAAATTGCTTGATCAGGGGCGGATTACCATTCGAAGGCGCCCAAAGCCCATGCATATTTTCGCGCCCCACTGCTCAATGTTTTCAGTATATACAGGGCGTCCCAAAATTGCTGGGACACAGAGCTACCACGTGTATAGGAGGTCAAAATGAGTTGATTGGACCCAATTTATTTATGTGCCAAAATGTACCGTTTGTCCTTGAGAAGTGTTCACAGTTCCCACAAAAAAACACATTTTTGTACGCTGTTCAGAAACAAGTGGAACGAATTTGAGGAAATTTGTTCAGAAACCTGAAAGAAATTGTAAAAGGGTTGAAACCACCCTCACCCCCTGACATTTTTTTCAGAACTTTTTCAGGGGTCATAATACGGTTCTGAAATTTGTTGAGCTTGAAGACTAATCAATTACTTTCATTTAATTTCTCTTGTAAAAATTTCCTATACTGCATAGTTTCAAAGAAAAAAAATGTTCTTTCAAATAATGCTACCAGATATTCCCAGTACAAGTTTAATCAAATCGTGGTATAAAACTTAGTTGGCAGTGGAAACGAAGGCAAGTCGTGATTTTGACAGGAAACAAACTTATTGTCATTTGTTGTTAACGTTGTCTCTAAATGTTTCAATAAATTCTTCAGACATCAAGACAATATCTGAACGAACAATTTCCTGATAGATGGATTGGTAGGGAACAAGAAGCACCTATTCAATGGCCTCCGCGGTCTCCAGATTTGAATTCGTGCGACTTCTTCATCTGGTGAGCGTTAAAAAATACAAGTGTATGAAGTTCAAATTGATACTTTCGAACAACTGTGGAACAGAATTCAAAATGCTGTTGACGCACTATACGAGACAACGACGATGTCCTCATAAGGAGGGTGCATTTCAATTTTTTACGTCGAATTGATATTTGTTTTAATGAAGGTGGGCGTTATATTGAACATTTATCATGAAGAAACGTTCTGCTTTTGTTTCTACTGTAAACTAAGTTTTATATCACAATTCACACACTGTTCTATACATGGTAGCTCTGTGTCCCAGCAATTTTGGGACACCCTGTATATGAGGAGACTCTTCTAAACGACACACACAACTGGCGACAGTGTTATACATATTTTATTCGAAATTATATCAAACCCTATCAATATCAACAAATTATTTTCCAACAACTAACAGAAATGAACTTGGTTTTCAGAAAAGAAAAAATCAACAAAACAAAGCAAAAGTCAGGTACAGAAATATAACATTCAAGTAATTTTTTTGTCTCTCAATAATAAGATCATATCAATATTATACAATAATTTTACCTCATTTTCTTGAGAAGCGGGAGTAACATCGCGTACGATACATTCGTTTCATCACTTTTATCTGCTGTATCTGTACATGAAGTCCACTAAAACCAGAACAGAAATAGGTATTTGACATTCTCCTATTATATACTAAGTATGTTTTGTGTGTCAGTACAAACAATGCCGGCGGTTGAATCATTCGAATTTGAAATCGAGGGCGTCGAATCAATTGAAAAACTATCTTATTTTGGCACTTTTTGAAGTGCATGCTCATGTAGTTCTGCCTCATTTTTAGATTTCCTCCGAATTCACAGCGCTGACAGCGTTGACAATGTTGCCATCCATGCGTATTGACTTTTAGGAGGAGAACTACGGAGGCTGTTACAAAGTTGCTACTTCGGATAATTTTTCGCAATCAGTGCTATTTTAAAAATATGTTTCACATGAGGAAATATATAATTTGATTTCTGATCTAAATAATTGATTTTTCTTATAAGTATTTGGAATTTTCTTGCGCCCTCTGGGATTTGGCGCTACAAACCCTGGCTTTGCGGGCTTATTGTACTATAATCCGCCCCTGTGCTTGATAAATGAATATTTTCAGTAATGCCAACTCACCCATCTACCTAAAGGCTATAGTTCTAGCCATTTTTGAACTCATCTAGCTATTTTTTATTCTGAATTTCTATAAAAATATTTGAATTTTTATAATATTCCCATAGATAGTTCATTATATTCACGATCTAATCTGAGTCAAATTTAGGCCAATCTAGGTAGTCTGTATGTATTTCTAGGGATTTGTGCCATTTTGACCAACTGGGTGCGTTTTCCGTTCCAACATTTTGTCATGCGCAATCGAAGGAACATTGACGTTGAAGACAATGTGTATCACGTCATACGTAAATATCAATAATATTATAGTCAGTCGAGTATGTAGCTTTAGACCAAAGCTCTAAACATAGCAAATTCCATTCGAAAACCTGGTTGTGCACTAATAGTTCTGCTTCAGTTTTGCATTTGCACTACGTTGGTTTTTTCCAAAATGTGAACTGGTGCATTCCCAACGGAATAGGAAACAATGATGTATGGTAACATCTTGTAAGATTAATTTCTCTGAATTAATGAAATGGCGGACCTCATTTAATTAAATCCTAGAGAATAGTGCTTCTATATGCAATACAATATTCTACACCATCATAATATGTTCAATTTATTACAAAAATGCACCTAATCACTAGTACCAGGTTCAATAAATATACACCACCAGCACAGCACGCGCAATGTACAACAAAGGAATTCCCAACAATTTGGTAAAATACAAACAATCAATTCCTACACGGTCAGTTTTGAAATATTCTCTGAAATTTGGACGTCTAATTGAATGAAACAAATTCTCATCAACAAAACATCTACACTAGGCAAACAATTCCACTGCTCTGCCTGTTCTATATATTCTTGATTTCGTCTTGGTTATATATGCAACGCCCTTGAGTTGACAAACTGGTGCCTTCATACGTCTAACTATGAACATATTAGAATATCAAGAAGAAACAATAGTAACACACCTTCTATAATATCAATACAAAGCAAAGTAAAGCTTATAGATATTATTTCAACAAACTGAATACATATTTCCTATGAGATTGAGACTCGCTGAGGAAAAATTCTCCGAGCCTATGTCTTTTGTTGGTATTCATAGCTGTTTTCGTTGGTAGGTACATACAATCACTGGGGTAATATAGAAAATGTTCGGTTTCCAAAAATATACCTCCAATGAGGATTTGTTTCTGAGACCATAATCCATTTCTCTAGCTGTTCAACTTTAGCTGAATAAATTCAAACCGCATTTGTCGTTGATCCACTCAGCTAACAAACAGCATTGAAAATCGTTGAAACTAAAGAGGGAGAGGGTAGATTACTACCCCATATTATCTTTTTTGAATTTCCATGCACCTGGTTTCTCGAAGATAGATGGCTACTATCAGTGTAGTGAGAAAAGATATTTTAGAATTGTTTGAACAATGTTTTTTAACAGTTGCTTTTCCATGTACACATCATCATAATAAATATGAGACCGCAACAACAGAGTTTCTTTCATATTTGATTATGTATAAATCATTCACATTAGACGGTTTCGCGTCCACAAAGTATGAACTCATTTGTTCAAAATATCATAAAATTCGTAAATTCCAGAACCTTGGCCTACGTGACTATTTCACACCATACAGATCTCAATGACGCCACCACCTACTTGATGTCACTCGGTTTAATATTGTTTATTCGAAATTGTCGCTGAGCTGAGAGGGGTAACCGTCAAATACACTTTTAATAACTTTCTGAATGTATCGATTTTATCACTATTTACCTAGAAAAAATACATCGAAAATTTGTTGTATCCGACTCTCCATATATAAACCGCTGATATCATTGTGTACTTAATCAAAATGAGGCCAAGCAACGCGATAAGAGAATCATGTTTCGTGATCACACCAGATTGTATCATTCTCCCTATATTAGTTGCATAAGAAAAATAACGCCTTTCGTTATATCATGTTTCCAAATTCTGGGTTCAGGACTACCTATACTTTTTTATCAACATAATGATACGACTATATATTCTTGAGAAGCTTTTTGATGAAAAATTATCGAGCCAGGATGAAGCTGTAATGAACATTTCTTAAACATTTTTGGGCCATATCTCTATATGCTTCGTTCTGCTTTTCATAAAAATGAGACAGGTCGCTGATGTACCGCACAAAAATTTTCAGACACACTGTCATGTAGGTTCTAAAATATCGTCTGATATATCGTGAATATCTTTTACGAAATGAAAGTATGAGCTCATCTAATTTTTATTTTTCATGATCATTCCTTGACAAAAAATAAAGGACTCTTTGCAGACTGGCAGTCGAAGAAATGGAGTTTCATGTGCGAATTGTAAAACCACTAATACAACGCTCTGGAGGAGGAATAACCAAGGCGAACCAGTGTGCAATGCATGTGGACTGTACTTCAAACTTCATAATGTAAGTTTCGTTATTGGCAGAAATTTTGCATATTCGGACAGTAAAGTACTGCCTGTAGTCATTTCATTTTTACTTTTCGTATCATAGAAACCGTCTGGGTAAATTTTTCACATCTAAATTGGATAAACAGGAGCTACTATTATAGATTTTCAAATTCTCTCAGGGTTCTTATTTCCTATATCTATACTGTTGGTCCTTCACCCTGTATGTATACTCACCAGGGGAGCGAAGCTGTTTTATTTTATTTCATTTATATGTAATCTTCAGAAATAAATCCAAATAATCGATTACAATTATTCCTTAATACTAATCAGCTTTCAGTGTGCAGAAATAATGATTTAACTATACAGTGGTAAATAGGAAAAGAGAAGTATATACCGATTCAGTTGTGCCTAAAAACATACTAAATTGAACTTATCACATATATTTTATACATATAACGCAACAATATGGAGAATTTTTTAAGCATTATGATAATATGCAGGAACTTATTGAATTGCATCATAATACGTAAATATTTTTTGCTTAACAACATCGAACGATTTTCGAAAAATATATAACTTCAATTCATTCACTAATTTACAAATTCTATGGACAGGAGCGTTCGGACCAAGATTTGTTTTTGGTTTTGGCAGAAAAAATATCGGGATATTTCCATTAAAATAGTATGTTTGAGGACGAACTAACTTTTTTGAAACTGCAGGACAGATGGCTAGTCCATTAACTTACTTATGTAAAAGCAGTATACAGATGCCATTTCTCTTTATGTTCTAATTTAATTAATTTAAACTCTTCTGATTAAGTTTTATAGGGTATATCGAAATAATACACTTTTTGTCTTTTATAATATAGGTAGGTACCTCAAAAAAATTTTTTGGGCATTTTCCAATTCGTTTTTATGATACTCGTAAAGCATATTCCAACATGCTTCTCACAAAAGCATTATACAAGAAACACAATGTTTTCAAGTCATTGAATTTGCAAAAATTTCTTATCACGAATTAAATTAGTTTGAACGCCCTTTTGGAGCTATTGTTTACATGTGTATTGAAGTTGAGTTATAATTATCAAAATAAACACCCGAATCCATGACTCCATTTTGTTTTGGTAAGGCTGATGTGTCATTCAGTTCGTATGTGAAGTTCACTATATTTTTTTCTAGTAAATGTTACGGAGAAACATTCTCCACCATTGAAGTATAAGTTGATATTTTCAGACCAAGACATTATCCTGTTAATATCCTTTTATTTTCACAATGTTCCGCGAAAGGTAACCTTCCTTTTAACTAGCTGATGATTGGAGACTTTTTCTCAAAATATAGAAGAAATCACCTTCTCACTAATCAGTGTTTGTGACATCATTATTTTGGGCCACTGAGAAACTGGCATCAATCATTATTGAATTGCCATAATATATATATGCGCTTCTTGTATCATCACAATTATTTTCATCATCATTTATACGTTTACAGAAAAGCACATAAAGCTGATGGTCACCGGAAGAATATCTAATACCTATTTTAAATAATCATGCAAAACTTTTGAGTAATTAGAATAGACTCGGTGATCATGTGAGGTTGAGATATATGAATGGAAGAGGTTTAGATCAAATAAATTCCGGAAATAATGAGAAATATAGAAAATATGAAATGAGGAATAATATACATGAAGATTCAGAATTTTGGAACATCAACTGATTCATCTGATAATGTCTTAAAATGTTTCTTTGCCTATCCTTGGATATTCTAATAGTGTCAAGATCAAAAATTGTATAGAATTCCGAGGAACCATTAAGGAAAATCATACCAATACACCAAACTGGACTGATCATCTACGTTTTCTCTAGGAATTTGAAATGTTTATATCCCCGACCACACCACACTTTTGCACATCATCTCCAGAGATGTTCTCCTTGAGGATGAGAGTATCCTTGGGAAACCTCTTGTTGCATAATCGAATGAGTGTTGGAATTCCGGAAATTCTCTTTACAGTAGATAAAGACTATCTCAATGATAGCAAAACACTGTTATCCTTTGGATAATGATAAACTACATAATTTCCAAAACATAATTACAGGTGTTAGATAATTTTTCAGTCAAAACAGACATACCGTCTGTCACATAATCTAAGATAGGCCTGATATATGGTGATATCTCGATTGTTATAACACCTATACGTATCAGTTCATCCGGGGTTGATATGCAAAACTTATCTTTTTCGATATGGAGCCATGGTAATCACATGAATATCTTGTTTAAATATAAGATACCCTTTATATCTAGCGCATCATTCAAGATAATTTTCAGTGGAGAATGACTACTTATCTAGGAAGTATGTACATTATTGCAGGTGAACAGGCCAATAGCTATGAAGAAAGAGGGCATCCAGACACGTAAAAGGCGACCGAAAACTTCTTCAGCCGGTAGCTCTGGCAGCTCAGCACAAATGAGAATGATGAGTAAGTCCTCTAATATGTATAAACGATAAAAATGTGTGCATGCTAAAGTTTGGTCTAGAAATGCTATCATGAGGATCATACCCTCTGGATTAAATATAAGGATCATGTAGGTATACTGGCTGTTAACAAGACAGTCGTTAGTTTTTCGTGAAGTACTAGGTACAGTTCGAATTGAGTCATAGCACAACTTTATCATCATCTAAACTAAGAACTCAGTGATAAAGTGTTAAATTTCATATTCATTACGATGAAAAAAACATCCATCAGAGTGAGAACAGGGGTATTCCTTGTGATATTTTGGGAGATAAAGTTCATATAACAATGTGTACTAACTTACTTCGATTTCGAGATACAAGATATTAATATTTCCATGGAAAATATTTTTTTATTCATTACTCAAACGGCAATCTCATCGAAATATCTCATTCGAAATAATATAACCAGTGGCGTCGCAGTGGGTAAATTTATCGATATTTATGATGGTGAATATTATTGAACGTCACTGGTTTTTTTGATTTTCATACTCGTATTAGATTGATGGGATATTGAGATCTATTCAGCTTAGTTTTAGAGGAAACAATGAAATTTCGATTTGACTCTAAATCTTAATGCATATAGGATCTATTGAGCTTTTTCAATATAACCCCAATAAGAATCATTATGAAATTTTGAAGCTTTGTCAGTCTTCCATACTGAATTTTGGCAACATCAAAGCTTATACAGGGGCGTTATAAATAAAAACAATTAATACTTTCAACTTCAACATCCTGTATCTCAAAATCGAAGCAAGTTAGGACACAATGTTTATATAAACTTAATTTTCGAAAATATCACATGGAATCATTTCCTGGAGTTTTTTACACTTATTTAGAAACCCGAATGTACCTATATATACGCGAATATCTATACCATTTCTTCGTTCTCTTCCTGATATTATATCGTACTCATTTTTTTGTTGATCCGTTTTGAATCCTTATTATTCTTATTCTCAAATATATGAGGAAGGATCATATCTTCACAAACAAACTAACCTAACTTGAGCGGAGCTCCGTTGAATTTCCTATCAAATGCTGTTTCTATCAAGTGTATTTTCTATCAAATATTTTTTCTACCAATTGTATTTTTATATCGAAGACTGGAACCTTTGGCACGATAATACACTACACTGTTTTACCACTAACCAAACCGATTTTTTAACGCCTCGACACGTGTTTCGCTTACTATGTTAGCATCTTCAGGAGAAGATTAAGACTGTCTGATCAGTCTTAATCTTCTCCTGAATATGCTAACATAGTTAGCGAAACACGTGTCGAGGCGTTAAAAAATCGGTTTGTTTAGTGGTAAAACAGTGTAGTGAATTATATTTTTTATCATTTATGTTCCTATCGAATGTATTTTCGGTGAAAAGTTCTTTCTATTTTTTGATTTCCGATCAAAAGACTTCTATCAGATGTTTTTCTATCATTTGTCTTTCGATCAAATTTCCGCCACCCATAAAATATACTGATGGCTCCTGATGAAAATAATCTTTATACATCCGTGAATAAAAACGACAACTTCTGGATTGATACAAATAATAATAATCGAATAAGTCGAAAAGGCATGAAAAATGAATATAAATTTGAATCATGAGGGCAATTCAAAAAATGTTATGAAATACAGGGTGTCCTATTGAAAATAACAAAGATGTCGTCACTACCGGATAACTGAAAGCTCCAAAATAAAAATAAAATTTAGTTGAATTTTCCATGGTTCCTTCACCAGTCCTACAAATTTTCATAAATTCACTACTTTCAGTTCTCCACTGGGTTCCCCACCTATATAGATGGCGGTAACTCATGAATAAGATATATAAACCCTGTATAGCATCATAATCAGTTGGAGATGGAGCAATCATATACCTATTAAATTTCACAATTTGGACACACACACAAATTCAAATTCATGATCCAAGGCTGATACGTTCATCCAATAAAGAATAAAGTATCGTGGAAACAATGAAACATTATAATATAGGTACATACATACTTTCGCTGTTATAAAAATTATTTCATGTGATGTACTTATGTATATGCTCATTGCTAATATTCCGTAGATAAAATTGAAGTACTGTGTAAATAGAAGATAAGTATAAAGTGCTAATAAGGGAGATGTCATATATTATTAAAGTTGATGCTATTCGAAAATAGACCTAACATAAACGTTGATAAATATATTTTGAGGTCTAATTTCAATGTTTGCTCCGTATTTTTCGTGGAAACTATAATACAATTCACTCAACTCAACAGCGATGAAGTATATAGGTAATTAATGTATTATAGAAATATGTATATTTACGTAACGTTTTTTATATATGACCTATATATATATATGCGTGAAGACGGGGGATCAATCATCAGTATATATTATATTTATATATTATATAATATTCATCATGTACATAAATGAATTGGAAGGTATATTACATATAGAGATTGCTGAAGATGCGTTTATCGATTTCATATGTGCATGATGATGGTCACACCCCTTATTCAGATCAGAATTCTGAATCTTGAAGCACCCTGTATTTTTTCCAATCAAATTCCAGTAGATAGTGAATCAAAAGTTATGATAGGAACATGTAAGCCGTTTTGATCGATAATGAATAGTTTCAACACAAAATAATCCTAAAATTGAAAAATCTCGATTTTGAACAGCCTATATATATCTGTAATCATTCCTGCTAGACCCCAAGTGTGATACATCGATGAAATCAGCTCTCAGAATCGAAAAATGCAATGAAATACAGGGTGTTCCATTCGAAATAACAAAGTTGTTAGTTGTTTCTGATAGAAGTGGCAACACTGTATCGATGAAAATATTCTAGATGGATAGGAAATGTTCAATTATCAGAGCATCCCAATTTTCAGAATTCGTTCTCCAGATACTTCTAATAGGCCATCCACCGTGGATCACCCTGTATAGTTACCCAGAGTTTCTATAAAGATTCAAACTTGGCATGATTCTGGAACATATCTATAGTATCAGCTCACTTTGGCCACAATTAATTTTGAGAAAATATACAAGCTGATGGTTTTGGAACGTCCTTTCTCCTGAAGCAATAAGAAATTTTGAGGAATATATAAAACATTGATTTCCAATAACCCTATATATAGCCATCATGTTCGAATCTAGTGTATAGTATATTATAATAGTAATGATATAGTATTCTTGAAAATCTGGAAACTATGTGGCTTTCCTAGAGAATATACTTTGTCACCGGTATACATTTCTGACAATAAATGCCCCTATGTTCTTCGCCGTTCTTCCTTGTCCTATTTTGATTAACGAAAAAGCAAATATCTCGAATGATTTCCCAATTATATATGCTAGAACAATCGAAGCAAGACTGAAACGGTGGCAAATTTGAGCAATACTTGAAGTTTCCTGAAGTATATTCCATTATTGTTTCATTCATATACATTCACCTATTTCAATATTTTCATGACATTTAAAACTTCATTTAAACGTATGTCCTAAAAGTCTTAACTTTTGAGATATAGGATAATGAAGTTTTGAAAAATATTCAGTTTTTTGATGATAACTAAGACAATATTGAATACATCTGTATGAAATTTGGTACACGTATTTTATGCATCAAGGTGCATTTTCTGATGCACGACGATTTTCATTTCCTCTACCAGTGGCACCGTTACGGGAAAATTATTGTTTATATTTTACTCAAAAGTGGGCAACGACGGAAAATTTTCAAATTTCATACAATGCTATAAACGGCTATTTAATTATGTACAAAAAAGATCCTCTTGTTGATACTCGAAAGAAAGCTTCGTTTTCGAGAAAAAACGGAAAAACGAGACCAGACTTCAAATTTTGATGTTTGAGTACTCCATTCAAGACATCCATTACTGCATAATCACCGTATGTAACATTTTGAAATTTGTATACCGATTCAGTCACATAGCAGACTGATTTTTGCCACCACGAAAAGCTATACAGGGTGGACAAAAAATAATCTATGCATATTCTATGTTTATATGAGGTTTTATTCTTGAAATGGGAAAAAGGAATACCCTCTATAGGTACACAATATAACTGAATTCCTATATATATGCATTATCATGCTATATCACTTGATACATTGAATAATGTAACTGCCCTGCCAAAACATTGCCCAACGGAAAAACTCCTCATTCTTGTACAGGGTGGGCAAAATTGGGCGTTTTCACCGTCTATCTCAATAACTAGAGGAGTTATCGAAAAACCGATATACATGTTCCGGGTTCGATTTTGGAGAAACCTCGAATGACACAATCAAAATTTAGATATCTTCATTCGTTTTAGAGATACAGGGGGAAATTGAAAATTTGCCGATTTCGATTTTATTTTCTGACTACTTTACGGTGAGAGGTATCATAAAATTTCAAACGTATATTCATACAGTATGATGCGTGGAATCCATTAAATTTTATACAGGGTGATGTTGAAAAGATACGGCAGCCAATTATGTTTTTTCTAATGGAACACCCCGTATATTTTGGCACAGTTGAATAGTCCCAGGCGTTCTCATTACAAATATATACATAACCCTACCTTTTCCTTCCACAATTTCAGATATATATATTCGCAAAAATATATTCAGTGTGTCACATTTCTTATGGTTACACCCCCGTATCTTCTGTATCTGGAATTTGGGCATCTTCTATAAGGCTATATTTTTCAACGCAACCTACAACCTACTGATTTCCTAATTGAGTAAATTATTGGTCTTATTTCTGTATCTCGAATGTCTTGATAACAATGATATCAAATCGAATAATTTCCCATTTTATTTCTCACCAAATATCCATTTGTCTGGAAATAACATTCCCTATGATATTCATTTTCCACCTTTGGTGAATATATACAGAGTGTCATTTTCAACCTCGATTCTGCCTGTTGATAGCATTATCCAGAAATATCGATGATTCCATAGCTGCTGGCGAGCAGTGTTATCATTGGAGATGATCCCACTTGGTCCATGACTCCATGAGTGTATCATTTGTATCTTTCTGACAGTTGCGAATTTTTGAATCCTACCTCAATTATTTTTACAGAAGATACGGGGGTGTAACCATAAGAAATGTGACACACTGAATATATTGTTGCGAATATATCTGAAATTGTGGAAGGAAAAGGTAGGGTTATATATATATATATTTGTAATGAGAACGCCTGGGACTATTCAACTGTGTCAAAATATACGGGGTGTTCCATTAGAAAAAACATAATTGGCTGCCGTATCTTTTCAACGTCACCCTGTATAAAATTTCTGATGATGCCAATGGATTCCACGCATCATACTGTATAAATATACGTTTGAAATTTTTTGATACCTCTCACCGTAAAGTAGTCAGAAAATAAAATCGAAATCGGCAAATTTTCAATTTCCCCCTGTATCTCTAAAACGAATGAAGATATCTAAATTTTGATTGTGTCATTCGAGGTTTCTCCAAAATCGAACCCGGAACATGTATATCGGTTTTTCGATAACTCCTCTAGTCATTGAGATAGACGGCGAATACGCCCAATTTTGCCCACCCTGTACCTTCCCCAGGTTATATACCTACTCAAATTAGAATCAGGAAAGAACATTTCTACTGACGAATCGCTTAGGAGAAAGCCGAATTGGGAAATGATGGATGCAGTTTTTTGCAGGGCAGTGTAGTTGCGAATTCTCGGAAAATTCTCATTCATTGCTTGAATTCCAGATAATTCCCCATATTATCAACATACGGAATTAGAACTGTCTCAAGATCAGTACCAGCTTCCGATGCAGGTGTATCAGCCGCCACAGCAACAGCAACAACAGGCTGCTTACAGGCACCAGTACCCCGTAGATCAACTCAGAGGGCTAAAGTAAGTGGTATGTTGAATTGTTTAGTCACTCCCTTGAGAGCCAGTCCCAATGATTTAGTGACAAGTACCATAAATTGAAGAGCTTGTGGACAAAGCTACACTAAAAAAAGGAGTCCTTTCATCCAAAGAAATTGCGATCTTGGATATGGCCGAGTGAATGTTCACTTCAAAATTCCTCTTCCTATGAGATTGTCAGAATATCTTACTGAAAAGAAATAAGTATTTGTCTCAGGAATAGAATATTCAGGTACCTAATATAATTTACTTGTCCCAATAAGTACTTGGTTTCTCGAAATCCATTACCTGAAGAAACATATTGGTGGAAATGCAATAGCACGTATCTACACTTTTTTTCAAAATTCGACTAGTTAGCGCTTTTCAATCACCAGAACATGTCTCCTCGATTAGTTCATCCACTAGTCGAGTGATGGCTCCCTAATCGATGCAGAGATCTATTTTGTATCTGCAATAGCACGTAACTTCGAAAAACATGGCTGACACTGACATATCTAGGTGGGTGCCCTCACAATGTTCCCATTTTGAATAGATTTCATGGCTATGTCGATCAATTATTCTTGTTTAGTAATATAAGCTTATTGTTCAACAAAATATGAACTGTGGTATTTATTTTTTGATTTTGTTTCATCATAACTTGTTTGGGAGTCTTTGAATTACCACTATGTTGTTACGTGGTATTGCAAATTCCCGTTTTCACTGACCTGGAATATCTGAACGTAGATACGATGGAATGGATACCAGGATACCTACGTAACCAGTTAGTAAACGCGTTATTTTGTAAGACGATTGGACTTACGGGCAATACTTTTTTCTGAATTTGCTGAAAAATTTAGCTTGAACAGAAAAAATAACTGGTTCTACATGAGTTTTACCGATTATTTACAGCAATCAGCGGCGAAATTTACGAAATAGATTCGTTCGATATTTTCATTAGTGAATAATGCCTATTTGAGTTCAGATTTCTCGAGTGATAGCTATCGAGGAAGCAGTACAAAAAGCCCTATCCTCTTCGTCCATTCAGATTTTCATGTCTTCATGTCGTGACTGATGGTGTTGAAACAATAATGTTGGTCATTTTATAATAATGTGCCATAAAAATGAACACGTTATGCATGTTGAATTATATTTCCTTGTTTTATATTCGTTCAGATTCAATTTTCCATGAGTTTTCCATTTTTGATTTCATTCAAGAACTCAATTTTATTCTTAAAAAAATAAATGCAATAGCACCTAAGTATCATAACTTGGTTTCATTCACTAAGTGCAATAACATGTATATATGTGCCATAAATGTCACTTCATCCTGAATCTCATTGCTTCTTCATTTGCAATAATATTCCTGATATGTAATAACATTCTTGAAACAACTTCGGTGTCAAAATATCGCTAAACATCCCGCCAGGAGGTTTTTGGTTGCTCCTATAAAATTCTTGGGAAAGTAGATACGAGTTATTGCATTTCCACCTTTATTCTATTTCATTAAATTCTCAGATACTCTGCCGTAGATTTCAGATTATTCATTGGAGATTATCATGATGACTGCTTGATATTGTGTAAAGATGTGCACAACCATTTTTTGGTTAATACTAAATAATACACAAAGTCATCTCCATCATGACAATATATTGTGAAAACTCACGGGTTCATTGTGAATAATCACATCAAGGGAACATGTTTTCGGACATACGTATATGTCCATCAGCCTAATGAGAAAAAAAATTAAGTTACCAGAGGAATCCTCACCATATTTAGCTTACATGAAGGTGAAAAGAATTTTTTATCTAATAACCGAAAAGAATGAAAAATATAGAAGTTAAATGGTTAATTGTTTTCCTAGGGGGATATAACCATGAAACACGACCATAGATGGGCATTATGGTGGATAGTAAAAAACTGAAGAGCCCTCTAACATTTGGGGCACTTCCATGAGCATGTTGAAGGAACACTAATGAATGACTTCCATCTTGTTGAACAAAACACAAGATAGAAGTTCATTCCATCAAGATAAGTATTTCATGGGCCTACCAAGTCTGAATATTCTCGAAGGAGAACTTTAAACTTTCTATCTATTCACTTGTTTACTTTATATCTCACTCTTATTAACAACGACACATGCGCAAAAGGAGATAGATAAAACAACATGAAAGAACTATACAGAATACATTACTTATCCATTGTTTTAAAAATGCATGATGTAAATCAAATACATCTGATAGGTTAATGGGCCATCGTTATTTTAACATAAATATGGATATGTAATCTATAGGACTATAGCACACTATAGGTATCGTTGAATCATCGTTCAACCAGAGCTGTTCCAGTGATCTTTGGAAGATGGAAAATACTTCAGTATGCCCTGAAAATGATGTGATATTGATTGACATAAATCTAAACAAATAATAATGTTATACCTCACTACAATTCTAGTGCAATATACATATATGACAGAAGCAGCAATGATGGATAAGTAATTTTTCATCACTGACAAATTATTATCCAGCAGTAGGTACTATGACATCCATTGAATCGCTGGGCCATTGCCATTGCATAGTAATCTTCATTCGTATCTTCATCTCACATTTTTTTCCATAATTTAGCTTCAACCTCTTGAATTTTTGGTACTTGACGCTGAATTACCTAATATATTATAACTGTGGACTTGTGGACACCTCAATTGTTTTGATTGATGTGTACAAATACTTATTTATTCAGAATCCATAATTCAAATTGAATATGTTATGTAAATGTAATATAAAAACAATTTCGAATTATCCATGCCGGACAAATAAATGGAAGGTTCAAATCGTCAAATATTCTTAGCGTAATTCAAAAATATGAAATGGAACCGTGTTCCTACACTATACTATAATTGCTTTAACCTTATACAAATATGGGTTAGGATAAAATCTTCCATATTTTTAATCTATGATTGATATATCATTAACAGTTCTATACGAAATAACAAACTGATTTTCTTCGAGCGTTATACCATTCTCTTTACACACGAGTGTATCATGTGTTGTCTACCTACAGCCTTCAGCCAATTCGAAGTTAGAAGTGTGTGTTACTCACACTTCACCATAGGTGTTAGGTGTAATGTTTGTTTATGAATAAGATAACCTTTGAACAAGAGAATCTAGATCAGATTGATCAAATCTAGGAATCTGAGTTGTTCTATTAGGGAGAATAAGTGAACAAAAAATGGCAAGTGCTGTAATATTGAATCATTCGAGATTGGATTTTGAATTTGATGCGGGTTGTTATTAGTCACTTTCGGTTGAACCGGAAATAACCCCAAATTTTAATTTCTAAATGGGACACCCTATTAATTTTTATTTCTGGATTCAGGAGATTTTTTTATCTTATTAATTATCAAAATATACAGATTGACCTACTGAAAAATCAATCTAATATTCCAGTATTTTTGTGTGCGAATTCAGAAGGAGAAAGTTTGTCTGCCTCACTTTTCATGTTATTTTCAGAACCATCAGTCCTTTCTAGATTCCGCGCAAAACAAATTGGTGTGCGTAGTGACAGTGACTCGAGTTTGCCGTTCTACTCCTATCCCAGAAAATTATTTTGCTGTATTCTTTCGATTTCTTCCTTCTTTGGTTTCCTTACTTCTTTGCATTCCTAATTCCTTGGATTCCTATACCTTCTATGGTTTCTTCACTTCTTTGGATTCCTTCTTTCTTTGATTTTCTTACTTCTTTGGATTCCACCCTTCTTTGGTTTCCCTACTTCTTCGAGTTCCTCCGATCTTTGGTTTCCTTACTCCTTTGGATTCCTTTCTTCTTTGGCTTCCTTACTCCTTTGAATGCCTTCCTTCTTTGGTTTCCTTACTTATTTGGATTCCTTTCTTCTAATTTGGATTCCTTCCTTCTTTGTATTTCCTCCTTCTTTGATATCTCTACTTCTTTGAATGCTTTCCTTCTTTGAATGTCTTCCTTCTTTGGTTTCATCACTTCTTTGGATTCCTACCTTCTTAGTATTCCCTCCTTCTTCAGTTTCTCTACTTCTCTGAATGCTTTCCTTCTTTGGTTTCCTTACTCCTTTGGATTCCTTCCATCTTTGGTTCCCTTACTTCTTTGGATTCCTTCCTTCTTTGGTTTCCTTACTTCTTTGAATGCCTTCCTCCTTTGGTTTCCTTACTTATTTGGATTCCTTCCTTCTTATTTGGATTCCTTCCTTCTTTGGATTCCATCCTTATTTGTATTCCCTCCTCCGTTGATTTCTCTACTCCTTTGAATGCTTTTCTTCTTTGAATGCCTTCCTTCTTTGGTTTCATCGCACTTCTTTGGATTTCTTCCTTCTTCGACTTCCTTACTTCTTTGGATTCCTTTCTTCTTTGGATTCCTTCCTTCTTTGATTTCCCTACTTCTTCGAATTCCTTCATTCTCTGGTTTCTTTATTTCTTTGAATTCCTTCCTTCTTTGGTTTCCTTACTCCTTTGAATGCCTTCCTTCTTTATTTGGAGTCCTTCTTCCTTATTTCGATGCCTTCCTTCTTATTTGGTTTCCTTACTTCTTTGGGTTTCTTTCATCTTTGGATTCCTTCCTTCTTTGGTATCCCTACTTCTTCGAATTCCTTCCTTCGTTGGGTTCCTCACTTCTTCGGATTCCTTCCTTCTGTCCTGAATTATACAGGAATGCCTATTGCGAGTCATGCTATACGCCGGGTGGTAAAGTGCTACTTTACGCCCGGTCGTGCATATAAAACGTGTTTATTTGAATTTTCTGTCAATTGCCATTCCAGTGTCCAGACTGTCCAGCCTCTCCAGCCAATAGTCACAGCAGAGGAAGAACAAGCCAGTGTCATTACTTCCACGTCCCATCAGCAGCCAAGATACAGACCAGGAGGTGAAGAAGACGATGGTAGTAGTAGCAACCCACCAAATGCTTGAAAGAAAATAATTTGATAGTTCAATTACAGAAAATTAAGTGCCTCTACTTGTAATCACAATTATTAAATAGTTTTGCTCTACAAGAGCTGATGATCTATAGATAGAACGACAATTAATTCTCTGACAATGGCTGATATTTTTTTGCCATGAGGAAAAAAGAAAATCAATTCATGATATGTAGTAAGAAAGTAATAAGTGTACGTTCCTATCTATATACCAACTTTCTTTATATTGATGCCTCATATACAGGGTAGTTCAAGATCACTTAACAATATTTTTGGGTCATCTAAATTTATGTATATAGGTATCAAATATTGCATGGTCCATGAAAAAAATTAGAATACTCCTTGAGGTAAAGATAGGTTCTGACTGAGAATAATATATGTATAAACATCAGGTGTCAAGATATATGTCTTATATTTGCGTAGATATTTTTTTGTCAACGAAATATTTTTATTTTTGAACATTGATAGTACAACAAAAATATTTTTAGACGATTTTGAAACACCGCGTGTACTAAAAACCAAGCTTATAATCGCAGGCAGAGGAACAAAATCGAAAAAAATTGTAAATATTTTGAAGAATCTGAAAACATCGAACTTCATACAATAGAAAAACTACCTATACCTTTCATTATACAGGAAGAACTTTAACGATTCTAACCTTTTACTATTTCATTGAAATTTTGTTACTTTGACATACGTCTCTCCCTACGTACTTATTATACAAGATGAACATATAGGTATACAGAATATAAAAGTTGAAAGTAACTGAACTTGCAGCCATGATTTTGCGTTCATGGATATCACGCAGGGCTTAGCTGAATGGTTACCATTAGCTCAATTACCTATATAAAAGCTCAATTTTTTATTGTGATGGATGACCCGTTGACATTTTTTCTCGAATAGAAACAACAGAAGGGGGAAAGAACCAATCATGTCGATCTGAATTCTGATAAACTGGTAAAGGTATGCATGCAATATCAAACTCAATTAATGAGTATAAAAATATTGGGGGGAGATTATGCTTACTTCTCAATTCAAAATAGTCATAGTATACTGTATTGGTATACATACGTGCGCTATAAATTTTATACCGAAAACCATAATCTTAAAACATATTAAATGACGTAGTTTTCTTCTGGTTCATGAAATATTTAGTTATACACCTATCTTCATACATTTTTCGTTTCGATAGTGCGATAGTGAATTGATATATATACCTATATGCATTTAAATTAGGAAAGCATCAAATGCCATATTCTAGTCTATATTGTCGATAGGAAGTTGATGATGAGCCTTTTATTAATTATATTGAATAAATAAGTACCTACTTTTGAAATCAGAGATAATACTTAGAATTTCTACTCATATCGCAATAGGTTCACGCCCCTTCGTGACACTCCATTCAGATATCTCTAGTTTTCAACCTGTAAATTGCGAAATCTATCTTCATAGTCTCCTTGTATATAATATGATGTGAGTATAAACATTTCGTTTTATGTAAAATTCTCTATTGTAAACATTCGCTACGTTAAATTACATACCTATATGTATAAGGAGTGGTTTTTTAAATTTGTATTGTATTTATTGATAAAAAATAAATGGGCAGCTGTGATATACTACCTATATACTATCACAATTATTTATTTTCCCAATGCCATGCCAACATTTCAGGAATTGAATCTAGGCAGCCATCACATTTCAACAACGACCTCCTCATCATCAACATTCAACGAATCAACTCTTCAATGAAACTCCATCAACGACCCATACATGATCAACGAACGAATTTCTCCAGTAACTTCATTCATGAATAAATTAATTGACGATCCATAAAACCATCAGCTTTCATTTCTCCAACAATCAACTCATGATTAGAAACCAATGAACAATCCAAAAACGAGTCAACTCTTTCGACGACTCAACTCAGCAGTGGCAGGCAGTTCTGAAGATAGGCAACTTATTGGAAACCAATATCTCAATTCTCCAACGAACGAATTTATTAACGACCCCAATCATCACCAACTACTCGCAACTCAACAACTTACCCAGATCATGAAGTACTAATTATTTCAGTGGTATATCACTAAACTCAGGTAAATTCTTTGCATCATACCTCGTTTTATTCCATAGGGTTATTTCGAACGTGTACGAAGATATTTGCATTCGAAGTTTCTATATGACCAATAATAGGTGCGACTTCGCAATATCGAAACGTCTTTCTCTGTCACATAATCATTGAGCTAATGGAAACTTTGAATGCAAATATCTTCGTAATCGTTCGGAATAATCCTATCTGGTATGTATGAATTCGTTATGATATTCCCTAACCGAGTCCCTACACGATTATGGGATGAAATTCAGGGTGTCCCATTTAAGAATCAAAGTCACCTTGGGATCACCCGGTACTTACCCCCAAGTATACTTTCGTAGAGAAACTACAGGGCATTGAAGTGCACTCAGTTCACAATATCTCAGTTTGCTTACGACCAAAAAATGGTTTCAATTAGGACTATGTATTCTTCTTCACTATACCTTGGATTATCAGTTAACATAGTTGCCAGAAATGTACACAGTGGCGTCAGTAAATAAGGGTTCACGAGTCACGAAACAAAAAACGAAAAACTTTTATTTCTTCTGATGAGTTGTTGATTGTTGACTAGAATTCTCGTGAATTTTGAAGCAGCAAATACAATTATACAAATCAAAATAATACGCATGTACACTGCGTTCAAGATGAGGATGTATATCATGGGGTTCTCGAAAACCATAAAAGGTACGAAGATTTTTGGATTAGGGAAAGTTGAGCATTTTCAAGCCTATAACAATATGCCGTTAAGACAGTTTCAAAATTCCGAGTTGTGATCGAGTGGAGTCTCGAAAGACTAATGGTTAGAAGTGTGGGATTGAGCGAGATATTTAGGAGTGATATTTCAATTTGAAATGTTGGAGTTATTTGATTTTCAACCAATAAGTACTCTGAATGTAAGGTATGTTTAAAATTTTTCTATCATTAAACTCGCTTTTTCTGAAGTTCAATTTTCACATTTTCTTCCCATTCACATCACAGTTCCGTTCAGTTATTCTCCGACTTCATGACAGCTTTCATATTTTTGTTGCAGCAAAAATTTATCGTTACTTACACGATCATCAAATAATTATTATATAAAATGAATAAAAATATTATGATCTATTGGCATGAAACCAGTGTATTGAAACAAAAAATGACTTTAGATATTTCAAGCTGATAATCGAATAATTTTTTGCCAAATAATTTTCCAGAATAGAAGAAAGTATTTTGCACATTTAGTTTTCGAAGTTTATATTCACTGAAAATTTCATCATCGAGTACACTGTAGAAAATTCCTCTGAGTGAATGCATATGTGGTTGTGAGTGAATTTACTGATTGAAATATTTGAGTGAATTCTCAACTCAAACTAGATATTTCATTAAGTTCTCATATCAATGAGAATGTTTATAACAAATTTGATTGAATCGGTTCATGAATCACCATTTTACACAGTCAAGTAGGGTGAAATTTCAACTCAATCGGGCGTGGACCGAAATCGACTCATTATTGCGTGGACCTTGAGTGAAATTTCACTCAATTTTTTTTCAGTGTAGGTACTCGAAAATACCATTGAAATGAAAATAAAAAATTGGAAATTAATATATTGAAGAAGTGACAAAGCTCCAGAAAATAAATGTGTCAAATAGATTATTACCAATCTGGAAAATTATTTGGTGGAAAACTATTCGAATTTCAACTTGAAATAACTAAATTCATTAATTATTTCAATAAACAGAGGTTTCATGCCTGTTATAGGTTCCGTAGAATAAGACAGCTAGGCTGTCCCCTATATATTGTAGTGATATTTCTCTAAGAGGGGCTCTAGAAACATCATCAGTAAGACAGGAGTACAACGATCATCCCGTAAGACGCATCCCAGATTGTTCTGCAACCTCCCAATGATTCCTATACATACACCAGAATATTTCCGAACACTCAATATATGCCGCAGTGACAAATAACGTGACACAGAAGATTCTGGAATGTTTTGGAAACAATCGATGGAACAATTAGAGAGAGAGGCTTCATTCTAAGAAGCTTCTAGAACAAGAAGAAGGAGACGGAAGATCATTCGAGAACGTTCTCGAACCAAAGCCTTCCAAAGGATCTCATATATAATCGGCCGACCAACTGCCGTCATTCAGTTGAGCAGCGAGTGTCAGAGAGACAGTTATATACAGCGTGATATGAATCATTTTACATAAATAGTAGTTATAAGTTCGTTATAAATGAGTGTTTCTTTAGTTAAAATAAATCAGTTCGAAAATAAATAGTGTCGTGTTCGCTTCAGCACCCGAATAACGTAACAATATGATTGAATTTTTTATGAAGGTTAGCATTTTCTTGTGTACGGAGACATTGGCATCGCTTCCTGTTCAGTTGATTTAGATAGAATATGGTATTCACTACTGAAAACTGAATATGAAATTGGTAGATTCAAGATCAATTAGTGAAAACATCCTGTAACTCATTTGTATACTAACATCTCTCATTCATATGCCAACATCAGTATGTCAAACTATAAGAACACAACTTTCAAAGAAAAATATTTTTGCATTTTCATTTTGAGAACGGGAGCAGATTCGTTTCTGAAACGTCCAAAGATAAGTAAAAATTCGATATTGTTTCAATCGTTTCAATATCTATATTTCAACACCTAACCTGAAAAGTTATTGGATTTTTCTTACAGGCTCCCAGATAACAAAAAATTGTTGAACGCAGTGACATTTTGGGGCAAATCATCTGATTTGCCCTATACTATAGATGTATAGAGAGTCAAATGGTGTTATCACTTCCTACTGAAAGGTGTTTAGAAATCTCTCGATATCGCCTATACTTTGTAAAAATAGCGAGGCGTGCATGGGAGAATCATGCTAAATTCCCGAAGTTTCATCAAAATTTACAGGCATCATTTCACAAGTTTTTGTTTAAATGGCAACAGTGCGTCATATTTTCGACTTTCAATGATGAATTCATGAACGACACAAAGTCCTAACTCATCAAGATGATCCTGTGATGATAGTTTATTCACTCACTTTTGGTACATAAAATACAACGAATGTTCAGATTCCCAAATAATCCTTACACACTGCAGCAGACTGTCCATTATGAAAGCACAATACACTCACTCAACTAATAATATATCAATCAATACCTGCTTAACAAACTACTAATGCTCTTAATGTATAATATTTCTATTTGAAATTTGAACAAAATATCGAATATGTCGAGAACATGACACTCGTGACAGATATGTCAAGTTGAAGATCCGCACGGATTATTTGATGCGCCCTCTCTCTGTTGCGTCCTGATGTCTCTAAATTGTTCTAATTTTTTTTTAAATGCCTCTCATCAGCTATTATTGAATCAGTGAATCATCAACGGGACAATTCAGGTCCCGAAAGAAAGAAAACACATCCTTGAAAGTCTAGTTCAACTTCCTAATAACATTCGAAACGCATTTTAAAAATTTTCAAGAAATTGTCCATCAATCACGCCATCTATCATCGAATATGAGAACCCCACGTTCCGAACTCGCATTCAATTGTTCATATCGAGAGCTATAGTCTGACGAAACAATCGAAGAGTGGGGACACCAGAGGAATTATAAACATCTCAGTCCTACTCCACATAATATATTGAAATAATACTCATATTTTTATATTATAGAAACAAGGAAAGAAAATTATCAAGTGAAATGAATGGATAAACACGGAAAAAAAGGAATTGTTGAATCAAGCAAAATTTAATTGAATGGAGCAAATAAAAGTGTCATATATGCACGACAAAATATAAACTTGAAATGAGTATATCTATATCTTGTTTCAGAGCTAATTTGAAGTTTGAATCAAGTAAATATGTCTTGCATGAACTCTGGATTTTCTTCAATCAAGCACATCCAAGAATTGTTTATGAAGAGATATTGAATTGGCACAAAAAAACATTTTGTTCGATTCAAAATAACAAGATATTGATTCAATCAGATATTTAGTTGATTCAACGAAATATTTGGTTGATTCAAAGAAATATTTGGTTGATTCAATGAAATATTTGGTTAATTCAATGAAATATTTTGTTGATTCAAGAGAGACAGACTATATATTCATTCGAAAAATTGTTTTGTTGAACCAAATTCAATATTCGGGAATTTTCTGAAATTTCACATAAATAGAATAAACAAAACTAGGAAACTAGTCGACTCCTAGCATGGATCTTTAGTATTTACTTCTCTTCAGCTGATGGAAAACTATTTCGGATTGCTAATCATCCTAAGTTCGATTTATCCAGCTGATATTTCAAACATGAAGAATCAGGCTTCACGTATATAATGAACTCGAGGCAGGCATAGACGAGGCGAAATGATCGCCATCTAGAGGCGAGAATTTAAGTTGATGTAGAATGAACAAAATATTTCATTGATATTACATATTTCGTTGCTCTATTCAAGCAAATGATCCGATCGGAACGAGTTCATTGATACATCGGAATAAGAAAACTTGTATGTTGTTTCAAAGATATATTCTCATCAAAATGATCATTGTTTGATCAAATCAA